AAGAGGGGAGCGGAAGAGCAGGAGAAAGGAGAAAGGTGGGGGAACAGACATGAAGGAAAAGGGAGGAAAAAGAAGAGGAGGCGAAGAAAGAGAGCGAGAATGAGAGAAGGAGAACAACGGGAGTCACGGGGTAAGGACCGAGGGAAAGCCCGCCCCCCCCCCAACGCACACACACACACACACACACGTAGCCTCGGCAGCTTCAGGGGGCAGTGCGCGTGCTGCAAATGCAAACCGAACCTTCAAAGAAGTCGCTTGGCGCATGTCACAGCCGTCGAGTTTGCTCAGGTTGGCCGCGCCGAGAACCGGCGGGCAGGCAACTGCGCCAAGCGACGGGGCACCAGCCGCGCCACCACCTTCGCCTCCACGTCTTGCGACTGCACCGTCGGGCACTGGATTGGGCAGTGCCGTCTCAACCTGACCGTCGCAGACATGACGTGGACGAAGGGCCACCACTACCTCCACCGTGCAGGAGGGCTGGGGTGGGTCGCTCCAAGCGCCGCGTCGATCGCAGTGCACTACCTGAAGCAGCACGACGGGCCGTCGGGGCCCAATGGGTCGCGGTACGGAGAGTGGCTGCACACGCACGCCGCGTCGTCCGCTTCGGCCCGCCCCGCCTTCCCGCCGCTCCTGTGGAGGTTCGAGCAGCCGCCGCTCGCGGCGCAGCAGGACCGTGGCGACGACCTCGACCTGTCAGCCGCAGACGCGGGGGAGCTCCGCGTCCCTCCTCCCCGCCTGACGGCGATGCAGCCCGAGGTGCAGCCGAGATGCAGCCGAGATGCAGCCGAGATGCAGCCGAGAGACAGCCGAGAGGCAGCCGAGAGGCAGCCGAGAGGCAGCCGAGAGGTAGCCGAGGTGCAGCCGAGGTGCAGCCGAGGTGCAGCCGAGGTGCAGCCGAGAGGCAGCCGAGAGGCAGCCGAGAGGCAGCCGAGAGGCAGCCGAGGTGCAGCTTCCTGAGAAGCAGCGGTTGGCAGCAGAGATGCAACCGAGGTGCACCCCACGACACCGTGGCGGGGAGACGAGGCCCGTTCACAGCTGCGGGTGTGAAGAGGGGCTGTGTGTTTGCGTGAACAGGTGCATGCTTGGTACATAAGGACGTGCGGAGAGAGGAGCTCCGTGGCTCTGATGCGCGCCGCCGACCGAGCGCTGCAGCCCAGTGCCGGCCCGCGGGGCTCGCGCGGCGCCGTTGACTATTACGGCGGCAACCCGGCCGCTCATCGCCGGGTGCTGCGGGTGCCGCCCGGGCTGCTGTACTGAGTGCACCCCTCAACGGAGTAGGTCGCGTGGCCGGGCTACGGATGCCACCCGAGCCGCTTCTCCGCAGACCCAGCGGCCGCCTGGCAGGCTGCCCCCGCCCTAGAGGGAGCTGGTCGGAAATCTCTCGGTTGTATCTCGGCTATACCTCGGCCACACCTCGGCGTCTCTCGGCCGTCTCTCGGCCGTCTCTCGGCTGCACCTCCCGCCCCAGACGCTGCACCGCTCCACTTTCCCCAGCGAGGCGCCGTTGCGCGCCGTGCGCAGCCTCATCGCCGCGAGATCGTGCTCCAGGCTGTCGGCCGCGCAGCCGGCGCAAACGGCTCGTCGGCGGCGGTGCTGGGAGAGCGCTGGCACCCGCTCGCGGCGGTGCTGTGAGCGTGAAGCAGCATGTCCTCAACGCCCCGCAAGTGTGAGTAGGGGGCAGCGGCGCGCGGAGCCGAGCGCGCCATCGGCCGCGCGCAAGCAGGCGCCGCCGGCTCGAGCGCGGACGGCGGCGTTGCTCGCAATGCGCGCGCCGAGAGGAGGCGCGCGGCGGCTGCAGGGCACGCAGCTGCCAGGGGGTGCCATCGCAGCAGCACGTACGGCGGCGGCGGCGGTGGCTGTACAGAGCTCTGCCACCCAGAGGGCGGATTCCGTGGCGGCGAGGGAGGAGCGGGCGCTGCGCGCGCTGAGGCGGCCCGCGCACACGCGGCGAAGTGCATGGTGAAGTGGCACTCATTTCACACCGCCGGCTGTGGATAGGCGGCTGCGGGAGGAGGGGCCTCGCGTCGTCGGCTGGGAGGAGGTGGCGGCGTGGGAGAGGGCGTTTGGCTGACCGGCGTCGGTGCTCAGCCCCGGCTCCCCGGCATGGAGCGGCGAGGAGCGCTGCCATTTTTGCAAGAAGGCTGTGCCCTTCCGTCGCGCGCCGCGATGTTATCCTTGGTGTGGACGGTTTTTTTCGCGGTATCCGCGCCGGGATACGGCGGGATATGGCGGGATACCGGGAGATACCGGGAGATACCAGGAGATACGAGATACGGGCAGACGGGCATATACGGGCATATACGGGCATGTACGGGGAGATACGGGGAGATGCGAGGAGATGCAAGGAGATACGGGGAGATACAGTCAGATATTGGAGAGATACATATCAAGATACCGCAAAAAAACCGTCCACACTAGGACTGAGATGACATGTTGCTCCGACAGCGCGACACCGCTCTGATTTATTATATGAACTCGGGGGCACAGGACGCGGCACAAACACCGCTCTGATTCGACTTTTCACTTCAAACAAAGACAGTCGCACGACTAGTTGCAAAAAGTCTCACAAGGAAAAATCAAAAACTACCAAAAACGCTGTCACGGTCAGCTCGGCACGATCTACTCAAAAAAAGTGACGTAGAGCACCCACTTTTTAAGCGTTCCGTGCACACACAAGGTCCGTCCGCGTGCACCGCCAGCTTCCCAGGGCCATCGCGCGAAAAACGACGGAGGAGATGCATCCTAGCTGTCGCCACCGAAGGCGACTCGACGCCGATGAGATCGGAGATCAGGCTCTGACAGGTCACACGTCACTCTTTTGACGCCGACGTGACTCACCCGTGCAGAGCGCATCAGGACACGGTCTCGGCGCGCTCGGTACGACGCCTGCGACCCGTCTCGGGTCAGGTGGCACGACGCTCATCGCGCCTACCAGCGCTGCCGAGCGTACAGGTTGCCACGACGAGGTCGAGCACGCTTCTATACGCTCGCCGAGCCTTCCTTTCCATCCCATTAGGCAGCCTGGGAACGGTGGCGGTCAGAGGCAAAGCCTGCGAGGGGTGGTGGAACCACATGTCACGGCCACCGCCGGCTCGACGCACGATAGCCTCCGGAGGCTGACTTTGAGGCACCATCACCGGACGATGTCGACGAGTTGGGTCGCTCTCGCGGTAGCCAGGTGGCCCCCCATACTCCGCTCTTTCCCTCGCATAGCGGCCACTCTTCGGATCGCTGGTCGAGCGACCCGGGGGATGCCCCGCGCGCCTGACCCAGGCGCGAAAACGAATCTGCGAGGCGTGGCCGCTTATGCGGCCCGATGGGGAGGAGGGGAAGACGTAGGGCGTGCTTGCGCGCCTTTCTGAGGCCCCTCCAACCCACCCGCGCTAGGTCTCGGGTTTGACGCATGGGGTCACTCCCGCGAAACTCGTGAACTAGCCGGGGCAGTCGGAGAAGTGGCAACTCCGTGCACTGACGGTCGGCCGTCAGAAAACACGCCTCCGTGGCTCGGGTTACACCAATCCTCGCTACCCAACGCGGCCCAAGGATATCCACCTCGAGAACCTCGAGAGAACTGGCGCGTTCTAGTTCTGTCAACCACAAGGCTGTGCAGACTTTGGCTACAACAGCGCGCGGCGAGTGACAGCTCCACTAAAATTTTACACATGCAAGCGCTCTCCACGGTCGCGTCGGCGGCACGCCTCGTCCCTGGCTTCCTCGTCGTCGACTTTGACGGCACCTGCACCGTCAAGGAGACGATCGGTCTGCTGCCACGGCTGGCCGCCCACCTTGGGCAGGAGAGTGCGGCGGCGGCGAAGCTGGCGCGCTTCAAGGAGCTGGAGGAGGAGTACATCGCCGGCATACGCCGCGTGAACGCGCGTCACGACCTCGACGGGCCTCCGCCGGCCTCGCTCGACCTCGTCGGCCTGGAGCGCTCTCACACACACCTCGCTCGCCCTCTCTGCCTGCCTGCCTTGCATCCCTTCTCTCCGCTCGGTGCACGCAGTGTGCGGCCGTCCAACGCCTTGGCGGTGTGTGTTCACACTCCAGGAGCGCTGCCTCGCGGAGCAAGACGCCCACTCGACCGAGGCGACGCACCCACAGCCCGATCGAGCCCGAGATCGGCCGAGATCGAGCCCGAGATCGGCCGAGATCGAGCCCGAGATCGGCCGAGATCGAGCCCGAGATCGGCCGAGATCGATCCCGAGATCGGCCGAGATTGGAGCCCGCGATCAGCCGAGATAGAACAAGCAAGTAGAGACGGCCGGGTGCTCCGGAGCAAGAAGTGCCGGACCGGGCCTCTAGGTGACGAACCGCGTGGGCGAGAGCGGCGTGCTGGCCGGCATCTCTCCCTCCGCCGTCGCGCCGACGCTCGCAGAGTGGGCGGCCAACCCAGCCGCGCCGCCGATCGCAGAGCTGCGCCACGGCTGCGCAAGCACTCTCGGCTCGGCCTCCGCGGCCGGGAGCCGGCTCGGGGTCCTGTCGATCAACTGGTCTCCGCCGCTGATCCGCGCGACCCTCTCCCCCCTCGCCGCTCCGCTAGAGCTCTGGTGCAACGAGTTGCAGCCGGACGGGTCGATCGTGCTTCCCGTCCCCGGCGCTGCCGCCAAGCGCGCGAGAATCGCTGCCCTCGTCGACGCGGTGTGCGCGAGGCCAGTCGTGTACGTGGGCGACTCTCCGACCGACCTGCTTGCGATGCTCGAGGCTGACGTTGGGGTGATCATCGGCGAGTCCGCCTCTGCGCGCCTCATCGCGCGCCGTTTTGGCGTCCGGATCGCGCCGCTGCCGCCGTCGCTGCGGGAGTGCCTCGCAGCGCGGGGTGCGCAGGAGGGCGAGGTCGCGGCCGCCGCAGACAGCCCTGGCGTGGTGTGGGAGGCGGGGAGCTGGGAGGAGATACGGCGGTGTCTGCTGAGCGAGCTGCAAGATCCAATCTGACACGTGGGGCAAGGCCGCCCTTCAAGCACTGTTCAAGCATTGCCGAAAAACTTCGTAACTCCTTGGCGACGAGCCGCGGGCTTTTGCCATTGCGTGCCAGCCTCAGACAGCCGGGCCGCCCGAGAGTTTTACTGACGAGTTTCTCTCGCGGGGGCGGCCCGGCACAACCAACCCTGTGCTCAGCACAAAAAAAAATTCTGGCGCAGCGGCCGGCGTGAGCCGCGCCAGCTGTCGACAGATGTCGACAGATTCGATGGATTTGATGGATCCCTTGATGGTCCGATGGGCGACGGGCGACCCCCCCAAACCCCCCCACCAGGTCTCGAACCTGCCTCCACTCGCTCAAATCAGGCGCTCCGAACGGCTTTGCAAGCCGGCTTGCAAAATTGACGACTAATGCTTCACTGCCTGATATAGTATACCATTTTATTGCTTCAGCATCAACGCCACGCCACGTTCTAGGGACGCAGAGCGCGCACTGAGAGACCACTCACATCGCTGTTGCGGGGCGGCAATGTGACTGGACTCGCCGTGCGCGCCCAGCTAACCCTAGCCACCAGCCTGCGCCATACCCAGGTACGGTCGCACCGGTCTCTCCACCTATCAACTATCATCCCAACTCCTCGGGCGACCGCGCGGCTGCGCTACTCACAGGCAGTCTCCCTGCCTCAGCTGTTACAGGCACCACCCACCGACCAGTCTCGACGACGAGCCGCGGCAGGGCTCGCTGCGCCGCTGCACAGCTTTACGCCACAACACAACATATCAACCAACGTAACCTCCCCCTTAGTGACCCACCCTTGCGGGCTCAGTTGCCGCATTAGGAGCCTTCGCACCGCGAGTGGGCTCAGGTGGGATCCACGGAGAGAGAGGTTCCATACACAGCCGCACTCTACACACCTTACCCCCTCTACTCGGGCGGCATCGTGGTTTGGTGAGACCCTGGGCAGTCAGAGAGGCTGACAGTAAGTGGCGGGCTGAGAACTCGGGCCTCTCCCGACCCGCCATCGCTGCCTAAGGGAGGATCCTATCGGCCACTAGACCATGACAGATCAGAGGCGCACACGCCCTGTCCCAGCTCCCCAGTGCAGTTGGTCGCGCCGCCCCGCCCTGCGTCGCCTGCCGCCGCGCCGCGCCGCCGCGCCGCGCCGCCGCCTCGCGCCGCCCGTCGCCGCGCCGCGCCGCCGCCCGACAATTATTAATTCATTATTAATGAAGTAATAAACAATTATACCACCCGCCGCCGCGCCGCCCCGCACTGCGTCGCCCGCTGCCTCGCCGCGCCGCCGCCTCGCGCCGCTCGCCGCCGCGCCGCGCCCCCGCCCGATGATTAATAATTAATAATTATTACCCGATTATTAATAGTGTGTGTGTGTGTGTGTGTGTGTGTGTGTGTGTGTGTGTGTGTGTGTGTGTGTGTGTGTGTGTGTGTGTGTGTGTGTTTGCCTGATGGCACGCCACGCCACCGCCTCGCATCGCCACGTACCGTGCTCAGCACTGCGTCGCACCTATTTCGGAGTGAGGGCCGTAGCCCCAAGTGACCCACCTCGCGCGCTCTGGCCTGTCTGGTCTTAGAGCGTCATGTTGAGAGTAGACTCGAGTTGCCCCCCTCGTCAGTCCTGCACGAAGCTTCCGCTCCGAGAATACTTACGGAATACAAGGTGGGTGGCGAATCGACGTCAGAAGTCCGTACGGAGATACGAAATACAAGGGGGGTGGCGAATACGTCAGAGGTATGTACGGAAATTCGGAATGCAACGGGGGCGAATACGTCAGAAAAGTAGTACGTAGGGGCGCAGCGGCGGGCAGACGTGTGGTTAGGCGCTCGGGCGGGCAACCGTGCGAGATGACCCGAGATGACCCGAGATGACCCGAGATGACCCGAGATGACCCGAGATTACCCGAGATTACCCGAGACGACCCGAGATGCATCACCCTAGATTACCCGGGATTACAATTAATAGTTAGATGAGGACGTGTCAACTGTGAGGTGCCGACGCGTGAAGTGCCCCGAACTTTCATCTGTGTTACTGTGAAGGACCGACGTGTGAAGAGCCTCGACCAATTAACAAATAAGTGAGGACGTGTCCTCCATGAAGGACCGACGTGTGAAGAGCCTCGACCAATTAATAAATAAGTGAGGACCTGTCATCTGTTAAGGGCCGACGTGTGAATAGCCTCGAGCAATTAGTTAGGTGAGGACTTGTCACCTGTGAAGGAACGACGTGTGAAGAGCCTCGACCAATTAATAAATAATTGAGAACGTGCCACCTCGGGCGATGAATAATTAGGTGAGGACTTGTCCCTCAAGCAATTAATAATACGTGGAAGGGAAGGGCAGGGCAGCGGCGAGCGGCGAGCGGCGTCGACGACGCAGCGAGGACACAGTGGTGACGCGATGGTGACGCACACAGCGGCAGCGTTCGCGGCGCAGCGCCGACGGCGGCCCCGCGCCGCGGCG